GAAATTTTTTTCATTATTTTACATTATAAGTACCCAAAGAAGCTATATATATAAAAAAACAGATACAAATAGGTGTTTTGCGAAATTGAGAGCAATTTCAAATCTGTTCAGTTTTTTTTGATACACCCTGTATACAAAACAGCCGCTTATGGCTTGGTGTACGGTTAATATGTAAATTTTTCACCTCTACTATACCCTACGACCGGGGTTTGATCCCTGATGTGCGTATACAGCTAATTGAATTAAGGTTGTCCAGAGAAAACCGCCAGAGAAAACCGCCAAATTTCGCGCGAAAAGGTTGAACGCATGCGCAACATGATTTTGGAATGTTTCTCTGCGAAATATTTCTCTTCGCCGGGTAGTTGAATTCGTTTCTACTCCGTTGTTGCGAAATGGAAATAGCGAAGCCAATCAAATGCTTGTGTTTTGGATGACAAAATAGCGAAACCAATCAAATGCTTGTGTTTTGGCGAATTTTTCTCTACTGTGGAAATCACTACGAGAGAAAATTTTCGCACAAGTATGTTTTCGCGCGAAATTTTTCGCATTTCGCTCGTCGTGGAATTAGGCCCTTAAGCGCGAAAAGAATTATTATTATGAGATTGTTTATGCATACATGTTAGCACATTTATGCTAATCAAGTGAATTTAATTCCCAAAGGAGTCGAGCACATCGCACAAACAACTTTCTTTAACATTAAAAAGTTTAAAATCCAATGAATTCTGCCAGGTTTGCTATTCATTATGGGTTAGACGAGCAAATAAATTCCAAGAAAGGTGAAAATCAACGGGAATGCCGATACCAAAACGGCTTTGGAACGTAGCAACCGCGTGACTACGGAGTGTTCGGACTATCAGTTACATACTGTATGCATGTCCATCGTGCTTTACGCGCTTAGATTTCGAAGTTTTGGGGTTTTGAAGTTTGACTTTAAAAAGACGACCTTAATTAGCCATTTCCCAATCGAGCAGAGGACTGGGTCTAGTTGATGTTTGGATGGATGTTTGGAGGGACAACAAGTTATAGTGAGCGAGCTAAATATATATTAAAAGATGCCTTTATATTATAATTGTTGCGTTTCAGGCTGCACAAATAATTTTAGGAATGTAGGAAAACTTCCTAGATGCCATATTCGGCATATTGTTTATTTTTTGTCCCTCCAAACAAGCGACTAGACCCAGTCCTCTGCTCGATTGGGAAATGGCTAATTAAATTAGCTGTATTTAATACTAATTTTGCTTAGGTCGCATGTAAAAATGAACACAGCAGGTTTTCTTCGGCTACTGTCTCCTGTAGTAACACTTGGCTGAAAAGGGAAGACCCTTACTGTATATGTAGAAATATAAGACCTATTGATAGAGCTAAATAGTTTAGTGTTTTATTTTGTTTTTGCAGTCGTACGAAGCAACAAAGAATTTTTCTGTATCCAAATGGTGTAGACGTTTCGTTATAAAGTTTGAAGGCGAACCAGGTATAACTATATCATTTAGCTGCATGAGTATAAGTGATCTGTTTATTAATGGATACACAATAAAGTTTCTCCGTGGGAAAATAGTAATTGGAATTGATAAGCTATCCAGAGTAAATAAAGGTAGTGTAGTTTTAATCTTGTCCTATAGCAACAGTCTGGACCAGTAGGAAATGGCCCAAGTAGACCTATTGCCTGGAGAACAGTTTAGAACTGATAGGGATATCCAGTATAAATAAAATTAGACTGAATTGAACTGAAATGAGAATTATCTTAATCGGTCTTGCGAAGGTTAAAAAATTGTAAAGAACTCATTGATGAAATTGAAAATGTTGTACTGTAATTCTTTGTTTCTGTTTTATTAAGGACTAGATGCTGGAGGTCTAACCAGAGAATGGATTTCAGTCTTGTCCACAGCATTATTTGATTCTAAGAATGAATTATTCACACAGTTTAACAAGGAAGATAAACAAGCACTGGTATCGACCTTCATTCATATACCGTATTTCCTCTATTTATCCCTCCTGCGGGCTTAATTGTAACCAGTAACCATTGTGTCACCATCGTCAACGTCCTTTCTTCATCGTCCTCTCTTCCTTGTTCCTGATTCCCTACGCTCCTCAGTCCATCTGATAAATTCATTTTCCTCCATTCTCTTCGCGTGGCCATACCATTTTAGTCTGCTTTCTCGTATCTTCTCTCTCTGTTCCGCAACCTTCAATTCCTTCCTTGCATTCTCTCTCGTCTTGTTACTCCTCTAACAGGTCGTAGACATCTCATCTCCACTACCTCCAATTTCTTCAACTTGTTGTTCCTTCACTGCCCAAGTTTCTGCTCCTTATACACTACGATCACCGGTCTTACCATCGTTTTGTACACCCACGTCTTCAGTCTCATTGGAACCCGCTTGTCAATAGACCTGTGTGTCACTAACAACCTTACCAAATTATATAATTATGTGTTACAGATTTATCCCAACCCGACCAGACCATCTCGATTGAAATTGAAGTATTATGAGTTTGCAGGCCGTATTGTCGGCAAGTGTATTTTCGAGTCCTCGTGTAGCGCCATTCGCAGATTGAATGTAAAGGCGAGATTCATGCGATCATTTCTTGCACAACTCATTGGCCTTCGTGTAAATTACAAGGTGAGACCACGGTCGACGACGAGAACCGGGGGAATTTGCCTCGACCGCCAACAAGATAGGGGACCCCAACTCAGTTCAGAACCGCAGACATCAGACATAAGATCACAAGATATACTAACATCGAAGCAAGTGGATTCAGTTTCAAAATTTAATCTACTTCATACTTTGTCAAGATATGATGATCTGGAAGCCCGGCAGACTTCAAAGCCAGAAAATAGAAGACTTTGTTTGATGTTGAACTGTACCTCACTGTGCCCAAATCCTTTCTCTCAACTTCATTAAATGTTATTCATAGTTGTTATTCATTCAAAGCTATCTCTATTGGACAATTACTTCATTAGACAAAACTACACAGTGACCGTGCACAAACTAACAAAAACTCGGACAAAAATATAACACAATTACTTCTGTTTAGCTTCCAGTCCATCATATCTTGATAGACTATGCCTACTTCAACCGACTTGAGCTCTGCTGGTAATTAAGTAATCAACTAGCCATCAAAGCTCGCTGGTTCGATTCCCACGAAGGTCAAATTTTTGTTTCGGCTTGTCGTGTGTGGAGGCCCTCGGAATAGGCAATTCCAGCTTTTAGTTTATGCCTGCAGGGGATGATGGGAAGTAAGGTATCATATTGCTGATTACGCTGAAAAATCTCAATAAAAACTACCGAAACAACCGAAATATTTCAATATTTACAAGTATAAGCTATCACTCCGTGTTTACACAGCCACCATTTTTATTTTTTTAGCATAATCACCAATGGCAATGTGATACCTTACTTCCAATCGTCCCCTGCACGCATAAACTAAAAGCTGGAATTGCCTATAGCTTCAACTAATGCGCATACCATACAGTGAAGCACAAGACAGCTGATTTTCAGTTTGGTGCAGAATTTCGTCTTTGTTCTTGGTACACCATGCAAGGTAATGTTTTGCATATAATCTTAAACTTCCAGTATTTCGTTGTAGTATTTCAAGACGGATGATAAGCAGCTGTATTCAAGTAAGATAAAATACATTCAAGAAGTTGATCCCGAAGATCTCAATTTGTATTTCTGTGAAGAAGAGTATGATAATGATGGAAAACTTCTTAAGGTTTGTTAAAAGATCATGGTCAGAATTAGAACTCCTCATTATTTTTGTCAGTGGCCGCTGGAGTACAGTAGCTCTGTTATCACAAAATTATTCTTCCTAGAGGTCCAGTAAGGGCCGTCTCTTATTGATCTACTGTTACTACTGAAGGAAACGGAATGCTCGGAGATAAATTGCTGTTCTGGTCGAGTCAAACTGGAAGCAGTCTTTTCAGTTCTCATGACTCGAGAAAGCCAGAAATATCAGTTGTCTTTTCATATGCCTATATATTGAGTCCGGTACGAGAATCGAACCTATGTTCTTAAAGGTAAAAGGCGACTCCTCTTGCAGAAGACTACCAACTTAAGCCTGTGTGCAGTATCAATGATGTTGTAATTTATTATTTTATCTCCAAGGAAGTTGACATAATCCCTAACGGCAGTACGATAGAGGTGACCAAACACAATAGAATGAAGTATCTGGACGCACTTGCTCAGTATAAACTAAATACTCGTGTCTCAGCAGAGATAGAGGCTTTTATTAAAGGTATTACAACTTTGATTTCGGACTCTTCATTATGAGATCTGGCCATGGTATACTTGGGAGAACTAAATTGCAAGAGCTGAATTGGATTACTTTCTCATCATTCTGTTTAAGGTGGCTCCATACACTTTTCATCATCGGGGGACTGGTACTTAATCTTGTCCTAATGTTGAGTTTTCGCGCGAAAATATTAAAAATATATGCAAAAATAACTTTTTCAGTTCTGAAATCCGAACCACAAGTCATGTTTATTTTGATGTTTTGAGTCTTCCTTGTTCTCATTTGTCCTCAAAGAACAAACTTCGTCCTGATTTTGTTCTGGACATTGAATAACTAGTCTTTTTAGAAGACATTTTAAGGTAAAAAATGCAATGTTCAACTTTCAAACTCTTGTGAAAACCGGCGATCGGCCCGACCGGCGAAAAGTTTTTTACTCCAATATTTGGAGATTTATAAGTTCAAATATCCAAAGTTTTTTGTACTTACAACTGGTAAATGTATTCAAAGTGTTACCAACAGCAAAGAAATTCAGTGAAACAGCATCTTGCGCCGGCTCAAACTGTTTTAAATTGTCAACAACAACATGAAAACACACAAGTTACGACTGTAAACGAATATAAAACTACGTAGAAAAGCCAAAAAGTTCATACATGTCACACATATCTTATACCAAACGACACAATCACCTGTTTTCTTGGCGTTATCCCGAGTTAGCATGCAAAACTAAAGATATTTGTATTTCTAACATATATTTGATATAGTTTCGACGAGACTAAAAACTTTTTTGTGCGTGTTTTTCTGGAGATGCGCCTGCGAAAACATGAACGCGCATGTCAATTCATTGATCTTGCAGAGCTCGAAAAACTTTCGGCCGAGCGAGTGAGATACCACAATAAAACGGCGTAATTCAAAATTTTGCACGGTGACATGTGATGAAATTTTGCACAACGATAACTTCTTTTAAAACAAATAGAATAACAAAATTTTAAAAAAATCTGTAGATTGGAAAACTCTAAATCTGCATTTTTTTATTCTGGCTTTTCTAATCTACAGAATTTTTTTATTTTCAGGGATGAGATTCAGCATTAAAAGTGAAAGCTATACAGCAGTAAAAAATGGGGTGTCACCGGCAATATTCGGAAAATAAATAATAAAAACCTGCTTAAAATAGCAAAAAATACCATATTTGGCAAGACTACTGTTACCATGGAAACAATGTTATGTTCAAGAATATTGCAAATTGTTTCTACCAAATACTTAATTTATACTAGGGAATGCTTAAAATTAATAGATGAAGTGATAAAATTTATAAATTGAAATTTTTACGCAATAAGGTATTTATACTACGGAACTGTATGGAGCCACCTTAAATAACATACAAGAATTAATATAACTCATGATGGCCGGCTAACCCAGATTAGTTTTTGAAGTGTAAATGTGTCTCAGCCAGGTTCCACCCGGTTAGTTCATACCTTGTTCCAGAGTAGAGTTCAAACCTTGAGCTTTTATAAATTTCACTTTTAGGACTCAACGAACTTGTTCCAGACAATCTTTTGACCATGTTTAGTGAACAAGAATTAGAAGTGAGTGGCCTCCTTCCCTGTTTGGTTATAACCATTGACACTGCTGAAGACAACGAAAGATTCGTTGTCCTGAGCTGGATTTGAACCCGCACATCTTTGGCGGGTTTCTAGACCGCCGCTCAAAGAGTTCAAATACCGCTCGAGACAAAGAATCTTTCGTTCTTCTCTGCTGTGTCAGAATAAACTATGAATTATGAAACTAGCTTTTCATATCTCTGAGGACGGTTCTGAAATAGAGTTGTAGCCGTAAGACATGTAAATTGAACATTGAAATGTGTGATTTAAAAAATGCTAATTAATATAATTTTAAAATTTTCCACCATTTAGCTTCTCATTTGTGGCACGAGTGATATCAGTGTGAACGATCTGAAGAACAACCATAATATCTTTGATAACCACTCATCATTCTCCAAGGCATGTAATTTGAGGAGCCAGCCAGTTTCAACTAACTTTTGTCGTTTGCTTGTTTGTTTGTTTGTTTGTTTGTGTGTTTGTGTGTTTGTGTGTTTGT